CCGCCTCCTCCCGCCCCTCCCCGCCCCGCCCCCGCCCGGCTGCGCGCTGGCGGCGGCGATGGCAGCTGCTCCCGCCGAGGGCGCAGGGAGGAGGGACCTGGGCCCGGTCGCCGCCAGCGCCCTCCCGCTGCGCGCCTCCCGGCCGCCCGCGGTCATGCTCGCCGGGTGGGGCCCCAGGCCGCCCCTCTGCGCCCGGGCTCCGCGCCCGCCCTGGCGCCGCTGCACCCCGGCCCGCCCGCCAGGGGGCGCGGCCCAGGCACCTGCTGCCCCTCCGGGAGGCGCCGTCCCACCCTCTCCGGGCGCGGACAGCTTCCTCCACCCTAGCGGGAGCTGGAGGAAAAATGTAATGTTTTGAAAAGTACCCGTCCGCGCTAATCCTTTTTTGTGTTGCTAATTCACCAAAGCAAAGGTGAGATGCTCCCTGGTCTCTTTTTCAAATATTTTATGTCAAACTTTGTTATTTAATCAAGAACGTTGTCTTCCAACAACAATGACTGGACCAAGCCTGTCAAAAGACAAAAGACTCAATATTTTCTGTAACTTTTTTAAAAAGTGCTGGTTGCTAAAAGAAGGCTTGTCTAGAAGCATCGTCAAAATAAAAACTGCAGGGGAAAGTTTGAATACAAGTTTTTCTTTTTTATTTTGGGGTTGGGTTGGGTTTTGTTTTGTATTGTGTTTCTTTGTTTTGTTTTGATACCGGAGATCGAAGTCAGGACCTTGAACCTACCAGGCAGGTGGCGGAACCACTAAACTAAATCCCTGGCCTGTTTTGTGTTTTGAGACAGGGTCTCACTATGTAGTCCAGGCTGGACTTGAACTCGTGGCGATCCTCCTGCCTCAGCCCCCTGGGTGCTAGGATTATAGGCATGTGCCATCACGCCCAGTTTGTATACAAATTTTAATGGAGGTTCCCGCCAGTTAGTAGGATTATAATCTATTGCTACTTACTTTTCTATATTGTTAAATGGTTTCAAAGATGAAATGCATATTACCTAGGAGAAAATTTTAGGCAGCATTCAAGAGAATGAATGTTGATTTTGGCTTCGAACAACTAAAAACGCTCCGTGTTTTCAGCTGTCAAAAACTTGTTTTTGCCCGGGATTTAGCTCAGTGGTTGAGCCGCCTCCTCGCAAGTGCAAAGTCTCGAGTTCGATCCCCCCCCCATACAAAAAACAAAACAAAACAAAAAAACACTTGTTTTCATTGTTGCTGGTGACAAGGAGGGTGGTGCTTAGTACTGAGGCGCACACATTGCAGTTTTGTGTTTGAAATTGTGCGTCACTGGTCGACCTTTTCGAAGCAGTTTTTCAAAGCCCAGTGCTGTTTCTCTGGACCCTTCTGCAGAGTGCCTTCTACAGAGCAAGGCTTATCCGGTGTCATATGGGTCATAATGTGCTTATGATTAGATTCTTTGCATGCTTTATAGCTCTTGCCTAGCTACGGACTCTTTAAAGGATGTGCTTTTACTTGGACACATTGCCCTTCCTTTCCTGTTTATTACTGATAATTTACTCTTTTCAGATTCTCTTTGTTCTTTTGACTTTTAATGCAGTGATACTTTTTTTTTTTTTTTTTTGGTACCGGGGATTGAACTCAGGACCTTGTGCTTGCAAGGTAGGCAGCTGCACCACTGAGCTAAATCCCCAGCCCCAGTGATACGTTTTTAAAAGATTGGAAAAGTAGGGCCGGGGATTTAGCTCAGTGGTTTCGCCGCCTGCTGCGCAAGCACAAGGACCTGAGTTCGAACCCCAGTACCCAAAAAAAAAAAAAAAAAAATTGGAAAAGTGTAGACCTAAAGGAAATATCCTCTCCTACTTGAGCCCAGCCTGAAGGTCTGAAGTGGCAGATTCTTACCAGGCTGGGCAACAGGTTAACTTCATGTTTCCTTCCTCAGATCCTTGTGCTTCCCCAGACCCCTGTTACTCTCTCCTGGCTTTACTAAGGGGTTTTGCAACATTCTTGTCAAAGCAAGATGCAAGCCTTCCTGGCTGTGATTCTCTGACCAGATTTTCTTTTTTTCTTTTCGGTTCTCGGTTTTGTTTTGTTTTATTCAGACGGAGTCTCGCTTTGTAGTTCAGGCTGGCCTTGAACTCACTATGTAGCCCAGGCTGGCCTCAGATGGCCTAATAAGTGTTGGGATTACAGGTGTCCACCATCACTCCTGGCGGACCAAGATTTTTTCCCCAGAGTATTAGCAAGTAATGATTGTAGTGTGGGTTCCACCCTGTAGGCATTTGTAAGACTTGATGGCATGACCACTGAGTATGTGTACATTGATTTAGATGTGAATGTTGCCCTCATTATTTTTAAAGGAGCTAGGTGCAGTGGTGCACCTGTAATCCCAGCTACTGTGAAGGGTGAGTTAGAAGGATCACAAGTTCAAGTCCAGTCTGGGCAATTTCGCCAGCTCTTGTCTCAAAAATAAAAAGTAACTAGGGCCGGGGATTTAGCTCAGTGGTGCCGCCCCCTGCCTCGTAAGCGCAAGGTCCCGAGTTTGATCCCTGATGCCAAAAATTTTAAAATTAAAAATTAAAATTAAAATGAATTGGGCTGGGGATTTAGCTCAGTGGTTTCGCTGCCTGCTGCGCAAGCGCAAGGAACCGAGTTCGATCCCCGGTACCAAAAAGAAAAAAAAAATTAATTAAAATTTTAAAATTTATAAGGCCAGGGATTTGGCTCAGTGGCACTGCCCCTGCCTGGCAAGCTCAAGGTCCTGAATTTGATCCCCGGTACTGAAAAAAAAAAATTACAAAAATACTGAGCTCAATAACCAGTACCAAAAAGGGGGGGGGGGGAAAGGGAGGAAGGAGGAAGGAAGGAAGGAAGGAAGAAGGAAGGAAGGAAGGAAGGAAGAAGGAAGGAAGGAAGGAAAAAAAAGAGAAGTGGTATGGTTTTATAGCTTAGAGGGAGAGTTGCCTGCCTAGTATTAAAGAGGCCCTTCGTTTGGTCTTCAGCCCTACGAAAGACAGCTGGGCACAGTGAGGTAGGCCTGTAATCCAAACTACTTGGGAGGCTGAGGCAGGAGGATCACAAGTTAGTGTTCAGCCTGGACAATAAAATAAGACCCTGTCTCCAAAATGAGGTAAATAAATAAAAAGGCTGGGGGTATAAATTAGTGCTCCTGTTTTCAATCCCGCGGACCACAAAAAAATTTTTTTTTAATTTTCAAAGGGCTAGCGTTATGGCTTAGCATGTTTGAAGCCTTGGGTTTGATCTTTGCACCACAAAAACAAAAAGGAAGCTAGGTGTGGTGGTGCGTACCTGTAATCCCAGAACTCGGGAGGCTAAGGTAGGAGGATCGTCTCAAGTTTGAGGCCAGCCTAGGCTACATAGTGAGTTCAAGACCAGCCTGAACTACATAGCGAGGAAAAACCCAAAAAACAAAAAGAAAAAAAAGGAAGCAAAAGGGAAAAGGAGACAGAGGAGAAGGAATCCTAAGCATGACGGCTAGTTAATGGCGCCCGTGCTGAAAGTTTAGGGGTCCAGTGCCTACAAGCGCAGCACTTTAATGCTGCATACTCTGAATTACCTCAGGAAATGGATGGACAGACGGGGATGCATCTACGTGTGGACAGATGGGAGAGACAAACAGAGGTGCTAAAGCAAACGGGGTGCGATGTGATGGGAGAATCTAGGTAGCAGATTCGTAGCGTGGTTCTTTCAACTTTCCTGTATGTTTGAAATTTAGAATAAAATGCTAGGGGAGGGGCTGGGGATTTAGCTCAGTGGTTTCCGCCGCCTGCTGCGCAAGCGCAAGGACTCGAGTTCGATCCCCGGTACCAAAAAATAAAAATTTAAAACAATTTTTTAAATGCTAGGGGAGACTCAGATTTACTATTAACTCACTCATTATCTCCCCCTCCTAAGCCACCCTCAGAATTCAGGAGACTGGCTATTTCCCAGATGTTTTGAGACAGAAATAGCCAACCTCATTTTAATTCACCCTGAAAACCATCACAGACTGAGTGAACGGCTGGGGACATCTCCTGAAGACTGTTTTCCTGTGTTTCCCTGCTCAGAGCCCAGATGACACCGCCTGAGGCGGGAGCCCCACAGTTCCCAGGCCTGTTCAAAGTGTGTCATGAACACCAGGAAGGGGACTTTCAAGGGCAAAGCATTGACAGAGCTCATTGCTGCTTGTCAGTAGGCTTTGTGTAGTGTGACCTGGTGGCCCAGGCCTTAATGCTATTATTCGGGGAAGCTGAGATAAGAGGATCACATGTTCCAGCACAGCTTGGGCAATTTAGCAAGAC